GGCTGGTCTATCACTTTTTGGCCACATCTTCATGTTTGTCATAGGTTGAATAAACCTATTATATGCTTTCAGGTATGTTTCCTTCTTATACCAGTGATCAACAAATGACTCAACAACCCAATCTTTATAATGAACTGATGTAAGTGCATGGCCACAAGGAACTCCCTTTAGTTTCCATGACCTACAACTACACACCTTCTTTCTTAGGTCAACAACATGTTTATATGGTAGATCATGAATCTCAAAGCCAAGATCACCATTAAACTTTACCTCACAATTATCTGCAATTTCAGCATTTTTTCTAAGAATATCCATAGCCATTGGTGCTACATCAGTAATCCATTTTTCTGAAAATTCTCTCATGTGATTCATTCTTTCCATAACTTTGACTCTTATTTCCTCTAGCATAGTGATTATTGATTTGAACCTAGCACCTAAAATCCAATTGTTGAAAGTCTCACACATGTTGTTCTCAACCACATCACACTTGCTATGTTCTTTAAAATATACCCTACACCATGTTTCTTTGTTATACTTTAACAAAGCTTCTACAATGCCTACTCCTAACTCACTCAAGTCATCAAGTTTGGACTGTAAAAGTACCTCAAATGATACCCTGGCAACCTGCCAGAATTATATATTTTAAAATAAGTTGCATATAAAATAAGTTGCATATAATTACTCATGAATGTAATTAAAAATACATCTTAAGTCTTTCATGTGATAGATTCAAATTATATATTTTAAAATAAGTTGCATATAAAATTAACTTAAATGATAAGTTTATATTGAAATTGAATTAACGGAGAAGGGCCTAAAATGCCCTTCAAGTATTTGAATTGGTACAAAATTAGTCTCCATCCATCTTTCGGCCCTAAAATACCCCTGATGTCCACCTTTTGGCTCAAAAATACCCTCGATGTTAATCATTTGGCTCATATTTGTCCTTATTTTCAATAGCTTCCTTAAAGTAAAATTATTAAATATTTATTTATTATATTGCTTAATGTGATTGGTCCAAATTTAAACCCTTCTCAAATAAATAATAAAAATGATATTTTTTTTAAAATATTTTTTTATAATACCGAATATGATTCATATTTTGACCCGATACACTTGAAAATAATATTAAAAAAATAATTAATTTCATGATATCTTTCCTTTGACCTATTTTAAATCAACCCTCAATTTATTGTAACGTAACCCAACTCATAAATGGAGATCCAACTAAAATCCATACTCAAACTGATTGTCCATCTAAGAAATATTATTATTTTCATTAAATAAATTTTTTCTATCAATTATTCAAATATCTTGTTCATTTTCTCTTTTATTCCTTTTTTAATCTCTTATTCTTAATTAGGATATCTGGGACTCAAACTTGAAATGAACTCACATGTTTATGTTCTTTAAATTTGTATTATTTTTATGGTTGGATGAGGGTGAGGATAAGAGAACTGATTTTTTTTATTCTTTTATTTTGAGTTTTGGGTACACAAAAGAAAAATGTAATATTTGTACATATTTGCTTAATTAAGTCATCTTTTATTGAACTAATTATTTCTATATGAATGCATCGTTATGTTCCTCCTTTTTTCTCTCTTGTTTGTCATGAATTAAAAAATAAATAAATTTAAAATGGTGGACAAGATCCAAATAGAAAAAAAGAAATGGAAGAGTAGATGCCTAACCTTTTTTTATTTACTATGAAATTCAAAATCAAGTCAATCATATGGGCTTATATATTAAGTAATCAAATTATTTTAACGGAAAAAAGGCCTAAAATGCCCTTAAACTATATGATTTTGATTTAATGTTTCCCTTCATCCACCTAATGAGTATGATCCATTAGACATAAGAGTATTTTTGAACCAAAAGGTTAACGTCAAGGGTATTTGGGGGCCCAAAGGTGGATGAAGGATAGTTTTGTACCAATTCAAATAGTTGAAGGACATTTTAGGCCCTTCTCCGTTGAATTAAATATAAATTAATTTTCTTTTAATTTTTTTTAGAAATAAAACTATAAAGTAATTAGTTTTTTTATAATATTAACAACTTCAAAGGTATTTCAGTCATTTTGATAAAAAAAATTGTTTAACAACACTTACTTATCAAATACATGAACAACTTTTTTTCAACTGCAACACTTTTATCCAAACAAATAACTACTTATTTTAAAAATAAATTTCAACACTTTAAAAAATTAATTTTTTAAAACTATTTTTTCAGCCAATCCAAACAACATAAGAGAGGAGTTGCTTACCATTGTTGAAGTTGTATGCTTGGAAGTTTTTTGAGTTGTTTTAGCTTCTTAAGGCTCCGACACCATGTAAAACAATTTCTTAGACCATCTCCAACCCATCTCTATTTTACTCTCCATTCTTTTTATATTTGAAAAGTAAAATAGAGAATTGGATCTTCAGTCACCCTCTAAAAAGTTCTCTATTCTCTATTTATAGAGAGGTGAATAGTAGTTCTCTAAATTTGGAG